ATCTGAAGTTTCGTTCGAAGAGGATAATTCCCAGGGAAACGAAATAGTTTCCGACCTCGAGGTCAGGGAAGGTACGGACAATGGGTACAAGGCCAAGCTTAGCACGTCACCAAGGTATGCTGATTGGACGGAGTCGGAAGCGGAAGAAAGCGGTTCTAGTAGCGATGGGTACCGAGAATAATGCGTAGCGTAGTAGTGGTTCCCGACGTCAAAAACTCATGGTGCCGGTTTTCATGCCGAGAGGAATTTTCCAGTGAGGTTCAGGTGGGACTGCAGAGACACATTCGGATGGGCATGACATTGCGGGTGCCTCGCATACAGTACAAACGTATCGTGAAAGTCTGTGGACGCTCCTACAGACTGCTGATTTACCTACAGGGGAAGGTTTTCGTCAAAAGCCGTTAATCCGAGGAGAGGGAAAAGGAGAGGGAAAAGTGACACAAACATGTCTAGTTCCGGTAATAAGCGGAAATTATTTATATTTATACATCCTTTTTTAGTAAATATATGGCATTTATGGATTAATTGGAAGAAAAATTATATTTCCCTTTATTTTCGATTTTTGCTACTGACCGCTTATCGGAAAAAAACAAGTAGCAACAAAATGCACGTCGATCCTAACATAAGAAAACAAGTAGCAACAAAACGTACGTCGTTGCTTAATCGTAAACAAGTAGCAACAAAACGCACGTCGGTACTAACTTCAAAACAAGTAACAACAAAACGCACGTTACAGGGACTGCGTTGGTAACTTGTAAACAACTAGCAATAATGAGCCTGTGTATGCGGTTAAAGGACTTCGGTAAGTTGTTGACGCCGGATTATGAAAGGAAAGTAGAAAGTTGCAGGGGGGACAGTCAATTGAGAGTCACTAGGCCAACGGGAGTAACTTCAGGTGAGTAAAGTAAAACAAAAGCTCTTGAAAACGCGACCGCCGAAGGAGTTGCCGAAGCCACTGGGATAAGAACAAGGGAAACTTATCTTGGAGCCGGGCGAATATTCGAGATCCCTCCAAGGACTCTGTGCGATATCCTGATTGTAAATATATTTAACCGAAGAATAATAAACCGGAGTGATCCCATATTAATAGAGAGACTCGTCTTTTCCTTACTCCCGTCGCTGACAGAAATAAATTTATGTGACGATCTCTGGCCACCGCGAGCTAACCTCAGCAAACGGAGGAATCTGAGTCGTTACAAACATTGTATGTGTAGGTCAACGTTATGGTATAGCCCCCATATAACAGTACCTGCCGATATTCGATATTTTGTAGTAAGTTGGTATTTTTAGTTCATAATGAGTTCTAGCTCAGTGGCAGAACATTGAATATTTAGTTCCACGTAAGATCGATCACCCCTAAATCGACCCCAACTGAAACGGAGTTGATCCAAAGAAAACTAGGGTCTCATTGATGGGCAACATTTTTTGAATTTTTAACGGGCAAGGATGCAAATATTCGTTGCTATTGCTAGTTTGGCGATAGCATTTTAAACCCTGATTGGGCCAAATTTTATTTAACAACTCCAAATATTGGTCTCCGACATAGGAAACTATGGATCTTCCTATCTCGCCGAGCTGAGTCGATCTAGCTATGTATGTCCGTCAGTCGGTCTGTTCATGTTAATTTGTAATCATGCTACAGGCAGCAATTATCCCACGAAATTAAAAATGGAGGTGGAGTTAGGATCAGAGTAGAACCCTATATTTAGAAACAGAAAAAATTTCTCGATTTTTCTGTTTTTCGAAATTTTGCATGGGATTAGAGTTTAGGACTGGGCAGGACACCGGAAAATATTTAGCGGGTAAAGTAGCATAAATTTCCACTAAACCGCAAATATATATATATATATATATATATATATATATATATATTTGCAAATGCATTGGTATTATCTGTTTATTGGCATATTTAAGTTTATTTTATGTAGGTACACTTCTCTGTATATATATATATATATATATATATATATATATATATATATATATATATATAAGGTATCCGAGATGTCATACAGAGAAGTGTACCTACATATAATAAACTTTTGCAATATATATATATATATATATATCTTCGACATTTGTCTATAAACATACGTCAAAGATGTGACTTTCAACCTTTAAATTATTATACCCTACGACACTATGTGTTGTGGGTATTATAACTTTGATTGGCCCAAAAATTATGTAACATCTCGAAATATTGGTTTCCCACTTAGAAAAGTATATATGGATCTTCCTATCTCGCCGAGCTGAGTCGATCTAGCTATGTACGTCCGTCCGTCTGTCCGTTTGTCCATGTTAATTTGTAATCACTCTACAGGTCGCAATTATGGCCCGATCCTCACGAAATTGAAAATGGAGGTGGGGTTTAGGTCAGAATAGAATCCTATTTCCTTTGGAGATGATCGCATAATATTTAGGGGTTGAAATGGACCAAAAATTGAAAAATTTCCTGATTTTACAGTTGCTCTACAGGACGCAATTATGGACCAATCGAAGCGGAAGTTATCATGAGGCTAGAACTTCGGGCTGGGCAGAAGCCTTCCAATTTTGGTGGTCATCGGGTAATATTTAGTGGGTGAAATAGACCATAACATTTCTGTTAAATAAAAGTCAAATTTAATATATCGGATATATATAGCGAAATATATACAATGTATATATACATAGGAAGGGGATGTTAGTTATAATGCTTATATCTCAAGAATGGCTGGACCAATTTTGACAAATGATGCCAATTCAAAATGCCCCCTTCATATAAAAGCATAAAATCTAAAAAAATCGCAGAAAAATATGCCAATAATGATGTTAATATAGATTTTGTAGTATTTTGTGACATATTTTTATTTTTTTTTTTTTTCATATTTTTTATCGCATGCGTTTTTTTCAATTTGACTTATTATATTTTTTAATATTTTTTCACCTTACAACACAGGTTGGATTTATTATATAAGGATTGCAAATATCGTCCGATCCTCACGAAAATTTTCACAAGGGTTGGGTTGGGTTCAGAAGGGTTAGGCCTATTGTTTTCAAAGATGTCCGCAATATATTAGTGGTTGAAATGGACCAACAACTAAAAATGTTCTTTATTTTGCAGCCGTTATAATGGTCATAAATAGAAACCAGAGGACACGAAATCTCGCATAAAGATAGAGTTTGGGACAGCGGGTACAATGGACCACTAATTTTGTGTGAAAAAATACCAGCATTACTTACAGGCGATATCCGTAATACACAAAAGGCGAACTTCTGGATTTTTTATGCTGATTTCGTTGACGAATATAGCCAAATATCGTAATCAAGCAAATTATATAGATGAGTCTTAATTTGGAGATACAGAGGGGCTTCTTGCTTTTGGAGATGATTGCAAAATATTTAGAGGTTCAAATTATCAAAAAAAAAAGAAATGTTTTTCCGATCACACAATTGTAGCCAATCGACACGCCTGTGAAGAGAGTTAAGGACAGGGAAGAATTCTAGCATTTTGAATGATCATTGGATTATATTTAACTGTAAAATGGACTACAACAACTAACAGCCCGACGGAGTGCATAAATGTTGGGCAAATATCCCTAGTCAAATCCTAATTTCGAAAGCGAAATCTTCCAATATGGATTTGGACATAAGGGGCTTTTAATATACTGTAGTGTTGTAGGGTATAAAATAGTCGGGCCGCACGACTATAGCCTTTGCTTACTTGTTCGTGATTGAATGAACATTTTGCCTTACCCCCTGCTAAACATTACCATTGTTTTCCACTAATAAACAAACGTTGTTTTTTTTAAACAACAATAGGATTAGGCCTGACCATTTTGCAACAACAAAATACAATGGTTTCCCGAACAAACATGCCAACACTGTTTTCATACCCTACACCATACTATGGAGGGTATATTAACTTTGTCATTCCATTTGTAACTCCTCGAAATACTCATGTCAGACCCAATAAAGTATATATATTCTTGATCGGCGTAAAATTCTAAGTCGATTTAGCGATGTCCGTCTGTCTGTTGTAATCACGCTCTCTTTCGAATTAAATTGAGATAGAAGGCCAAAATGTTGCACACATGTTTATTTTTCCAGTAGGCAGGTTTAGTTCGTAAATAGGCCAAGTGGGTCCAAGTTTTCATGTAGCCCTCATATAACGGTACCTCCCCATATTCGGTATTTTGATGATTTTAGCGACATTATTCACCGTAACTGTTTCAAATTTGATATTTGAAATTCGAATTGGATACTACAGCCTATGAAAGAAAATTGTATGTGCAGGTCTTCGTATAGGCCCCATATATCACTACCTCAATATATTCGGTATTTTGACGATTTTAGTTACAATACTGACCGAAATTGTTTGAGATGTCGTATTTGAAGTTCGTAGTAGATGCTACAACCTGTGGCAGAGGGTTGCGTACGCAGGTCCAGATCTTCGTATAGCTCCGATATAACGGTATCTCCCTATATACGGTATATTGATGATTTTAGTTACATTGTTCACCGTTTATTTGACGTTTCGAATTTGAATATGGTAATGGCTTTTGAAAAACAACGCTTATGTAGGTCCACGTCTTATAGACCCCAATATAACGGCTATATTCGGTATTTTCAAAATTTTAACAGAACTTTTAACGGATTTTATTTTTTGAAAATTTTCAAATTCTATCCAAGTGGTGGAGGGTACTCAAAGCAAACTTACTGCTTTTTAACTTGTACATTATTATCACCATTACTTTGACATACAGTGCTCCCTTAAAGTCGCAAAATTGTGATTTTAGTCCATTTCAAATTCGAAGCATAGTTTCAGAAAATTTCCGGGTAGACCCCTAATAACAGTAGTTTGAAATTAATTGACATAGACCACATAAAATTGTACTAACCGATTTCTGCTACTTTTTAGATTTGTACATTTTCTTATGACTATCATTACTGAATTTCGGTAGAATAAGTTGTGATTACACGTACTAACAGATTTCCGATCCAAGTACGAATTTTAAATGTCGTTCAATTGAAATTAGTATTTTATTTAGACAACATTTTAGCAGACCTCCAACATTTTAGCGACGACACGAAGTCCATCCAATTCATCTTCTTCTGATTTGTCCTTTTCCATTGCTTCCATCTTTTCAACAAATTGTTCAATTTCCTTTTCCAATTTCTGATTGTCGTAGCTATTGAACAGCTCATCAATCTTTTTGGCCTCGGCTGGAGCATCTTCCTTTTCGTATTTGTCCGTAAGTTCAATGAATTTCTCCAACAAATTCATCGATTTTTGGAAGCACATCCCCTTTTTGGTTTTGTATTCTTCATACGAGGTCATATATTTGTCTAATTCCTCCTTGTATGGTGAATACGCTTCAGTGTGTGGCATCTGCTTTAGCACCGACTCCACAAGTGGACCAGTGGCTTCGGCCAAGTGTTTTAAGAAATTAAAAGTGAATTCCAAGCCTTCTGCAGTAGTTTCACGTTTTACTCTTCCCAGAACTCCGGCAAGCGATACCTTGGATGTTCCTCAATATTAGGATGAAATTAGTTGCTTGTCAATAAGATATTTTACCTGGCTCAAAGCGGCGAGGGATAATACTAAGAGAAAGAACTTCATATTCCACAAGAATTTTGGCACGACTTTATGCAAAAGTGATACTGTCATTTGCATAGAATTTGCAACGTATTTATAGCAGCTTGGCGAATAGGAATACAAAACGAGTCTATGAATAAAAACTCTTATCAGTCAATACACAAATTCGTTTCTATCAATTTGATGGCACTTATTTGGCCTGCCGTAAACTAAATATAATATTAGCAAATCGCCTGAATGAGAATTGTCTGGTATCATGAATATGAGAATTGTTTGGTTTTCATTGCCCCGATCTATCCTAGGACTAGTCTACAGTCACTTTATCAATTGAACTCAGGGCGACTGGGTTGTAAAATTTTTAATTTCTCAAAATCTCATTATTCATAATTGCACTTTTTGACAAAACCAACTAGCAAACCTAAACACGAAAACAAACAAACAGTGTTTTCGTCACCAAAAAACGTGTGTTTCTATTCGTTTTGTTCATCGCGCATATCCAATGGTTTGAATGTCAGAAACTCTAAGATACGAAAGAGAGGCGAATGTCATGTATGTATGTACATGTCATATATTATGTACCATTTAAAAATAAATTTCGAGTTTCTTGTGGGTTTTATCCACATTTGGAAGGAACTTGAAAAATTTTAAAAAATTACTAAAAATACTGTTATACCTTTATACGGGCCTATACGAAGATATGGACCTGCACAGACAAATTTCAGTCTTAGGCTGTAGTATCCATTACAAACTTCGAATACGAATATCGGGAGGTAACGTTATATGGAGTCTATACGAAAGCGTGGACCGATATGGCCTCTTTACGAACTTAATCTGACTAGTGCCCAAATTCACATGTGTGCAAAATTTTAGACTTCTATCTCAATTTGATCGAAAGGTAGCGTGATTACAGCTGACGGACAGACAGATGGACATCGCTAAATGGTCCTAGAAATTTACGTTGATCCAGAATATTTATACTTTGTGGGGTTTATCATGAATATTTCGAGAATTTACAAACGGAATGGCAAAACTAGAATAGGGGAGGGCATAAAAACAAGAAACAAGAAAACCAGTAAAAAAGCTAAGTTCGCCAGGTCGAACTATTAATACCCTCCACCATTTGGAAGGAACTTGAAAATTTTCAAAAAAATTTCGAAAACTACCTCTTAAATGAAAACCGTTGTATGGTTACAAACGGAATGACAAAGTTAATATACATTCCGTAGAATGGTGGAGGGTATAAAAAGAAATGCAACCTTCAACATAGAAGACACTTCCGTTTGGAAACAAGGCTCTTATAGGTATCGGCTCTTATGGTATAGGTTTTTAAGGTGCACTGCTTGGAATTTGATCGTTGTGAATGCTTGGAAATTATAAAACAATTGCCCACCACCATATATAAATCCTAGAAACCAATTTCAGAATTTCAACTCTATCCTAAGATCCAATCCCACATCTATTACTATACTTTTAGTACAATTATATACCAAACCACTCCTAGACCCTAGACCCCAACAGTGGCCTCGATACACCCAACTGCACGTTTTGTGGCAGTTTGCACTTTTCGTATGTTCATAGGACGCATTCTCAAAACCACCTCCTTCTCCCAACACCAAATACCAACAGTGACCTTAATATCAAATTTCAGGATTTCAGCTCTTTAATTTACCCCATTTCCAAATTTAGTACAATTATGTACTTATTTCCAAAACCACCTCCATATCTTAACCACAGACATCCAATTCTATATCAAATTTCAGAGTTTAAGCCCGTAACGTGGTATTCTTATCGGCTGGTGTAAACTAGCTGCATGAAAGTTCTCCATAAGGATCTTCTTTTCCTGAGAGATCGGGAATTAGAGGTCTCGTAGGCAACAGGGTAAACGACTCGTGGACAAGCGGGAACTATGATGTAACGATGTCGGGGTTTTAACGATTGGTACTCGGGTGAAGTGTGATTTTAAAGTACTCGTAGGTGACCTCGGATTTTGACAAGTGGGAAAGACGATGTAGTGACGTCGGCGTTCCGGATATTGGCGATTTAGAAGTAATCGGGGCTTACGATGTAGGCGGGTTGTGGACTTGTGGTATAATCGTTAGCACTTCACTACAGCTACACCTGTGTTCATAGACGGATTGAGATTCTTGGGTGCTCCTTTTTGCTTTCATTCGGGGGCTGTACAAAAATATGTGCAATGATGAAAAATGTTGGTAAAACCCCTTCAAAGAATTCAAATATTGGGTAGGATTCTATAGGAGCTATATAAAATTGGACCCGTATTAACAATTTTTTGAAAGGTCAGGGGTACCTATTAAGAAAACCAAATGGCCAATTACAGTCCATTTTAATGAAAAATTTACCTACAATTTTTGAATTGCTTTGAATCGGAGGGTACCGTTATATAGGGACTTAATAAATATACTAGCTGAACCCGGTTTATAGCAAAAGCCAACCGTGTTGGAAACTTCAATCTTTTGAGAATTCGAGGTAGCAACATACTTGCCCATAATAATCGTATTCTCAATTAAATTTTTGTGTGGCTTTTACATAGCAAAGGCATTTCAATATAATTCGACAACATTTATTTTTGGACCAATTTTTTTGATTAAATATGCGAAATCGACCGAAAATATATATGGAAGGTATATCCAAACCTCAAACAATTTCACTTTAATTTGGAAAAATTATTTTTATTCCACAACACATTCTGATATTCACTTATTCCAAATTTCATTGGATTTCATTGTGAAATCGACCGAAAATATATAGAGGAGCTATATTCAAAACTCAACCGATTCCAACATAATTTGGATTCTTTTGTACTACATTCTGTCACTTCTGCCACACATTCTGAATTTCTTTGGAATCGGACATACATATTGTGTATATACCTATGACATACATATTGTGGAACCTATATAAAAATCGACTTCAATATAATTTGACAATTTTATGTGCTAAATGGCGTCCTTTGTTCCAAATTTCATTGTAATTAGACATACATATCGTGTTTGGTGCATCAAAAATATGAAATCGGCCGAAAATATATATGGGAGCTATACCAAATCGATTACAATATAATTTGACTAATTTATTTTCTGATCAAAATCCCGTAACATATTCCAAATTCCATTGGAATGGAACATACATATTGTGTTTAGTGCATCAAATAAACGAAATTGATCGAAAACATATAAGGGAGCTATATCCAAATCTGAGCCGAATTCAATATAATTTGGCAAATTTATTTTTGATCCAAATTCCATTACGCATTTCAAATTTGGAGACTGTATAAGTAATCGCTTTTTGGGAGGTACCTCCGATTCTGATGTTATATCTCCAGTTCCAAGTGGGATTTCAAAAATGTATATAGTCTGTGTTACTTTCAGATGATGTTGTAGTACATTTTTGGAAATTTTCAGGAAAATCTATGTAGCGGTTTTCGAGTCCATAAATTACAAACAAATTTTTTTTTTTTTTAGTTTGGCTTTGTTAAGGATATAGATTTTATAGATATAGATTTCCTATTCACCAGTACCTCTTTATATTCATTATTTCGTAGTATTTAATTTCATTTTGAAACCAAATTATTTGTGTTATAAAGATCTTAGCAACATTTTTCAAATCAAAGATAATTTTGAGTTCGTAACATTTGGAAGACCATGTTATAAAGTATATTGTTTTGTCCTCCTCATGATATGTATTCTTGATCAGGATAATATCCTATGTAAATTAAACTATATCCGTCTGAGTGTGCGGCCGTCCGCAATCGCAATTAATGCACAATATTTAGGTTAATCTTTGAAAATTTATACAATATTTCTAGGATGATTGGAATATGCCATATCATTTACTTATAATACTACCACTAAACATTCGTCCCTCTGCATGTTTTTGTTACAATTTCTACCGAATGAACTGTAATTTGACAATTAAAGTTTTAAGTGTTATTAAATCTATACCGGCAATAAGTGTTAACTATTGGTCTCCAATTTGGCATAGTCACAATTGAAAAAGTACTTCATGAATTTAAGTGTTTTGATGTTCAAAATTTTCGCGATTTGTTCGGAATTTTTCAATAAGATGTTTCAATTGCAATGGCATTCTGAAACAATTCTACACAAAATTCTATATCAAAAAAAAAAAAAAAAAAAAAATCGATGTGCTCAGTTTCTCGACTTCTGGGGCTTTTCCTAAAATTTTCCTCGTAAAAACTTTCCACTTTCGGACCAGCCGAAATATTGAAAGAAATAGGCGTGGCCAGTTCCGCTGTCTCCAATAGAGGGAGAGTCAACATATACTAACTTTCAAACAGATATCTTCATTATTTTGGCATTTGTAAGGATTTTAAGTAAATCGAAAGAATGGGCGTAAAAGTGGGAGTGGTTATTTTTTATTTGCATAAAAACCTAACTCGGGGTAGGACGAACATTTGTAAAAAAATGTTCAAATCGGTCCAGCCGTTTTCAACTGATTCAACTACCAAAGAACGACATTTGATTTTAATACATGTAGATTAAAAGCTAAAATAAACTCACATGTCAAACAGAATATAAACGAGTTAAAAAGCAGTAAGTTCGGCAGGGCCGAACTTTGATTACCCTCCCCCATTTGGAACTAATTTGGAAATTTTCAAAAAATAAAATCCGTTAAAAATTCTGTTAAAATCTTAAAAATACCAAATATTACCATTATAATGGGGTCTATACGACGTAGACTCACGTAGGCATTGTTTGTTATAAGCCATTACCATATTATAAACGGTGAATAATGTATCATCGTCAAAATACAATATATAGGGATGTACCGTTATATCGGAGCTATGCGAAGACCTGGACCTGCATAGACAAGTTGTAGCATCCATTACGAACTTCAAATACGAGATCTCAAACAATTTCGGTGAGTATTGTACCTAAAATCGTCAAAATACCGAATATAGAGGTACTGATATATGGAGCCTATACGAAAACCTGGACCTGCATAGAAAATTTTGTTTTAGAGACTGTAGTTCCAATTATGAACTTCAAATACGTAATTTGAAACTACTACGGTGAATAATGTCGCTAAAATCATCAAAATACCGAATATTGGAAGGTACCGTTATAGGGGAGCTATATGAAGA